CAGGCGCAGCTCATGTGGGCTGGCTTGGGACAGCAAAGGCAGCTTAAATCACCCAAGTGAAATGCATCTGCACCAGAAATATCAAAAGGGAGAATCACAGAGGTGAATTTAGGGAACCCTCATTTTCTCACACAAAGCAGGCTCCTTGAGAGGAGAAAACAGTAAAAATTGTGCTTCAAAACAGTTTTGCAATCAGAGCTGCTGCTCCTTCTACCATCTGTTACCACCATATCAGCTCTTTGGAAAACAAGTTGAGCTTTGCACACAGAGCAAAGGTTGCTAGGTTTCCTTTAAGCAATGAATAATAACATGTTCTCTGCACAATTACTGTACTCCCTGAGAACAGCCTTCATTTTCAGAGAACTTGAAAAGTAAATCTGTTAATAACCTTAGGAATTAATATGAATTAAAAACAACTTCTTCCAGAAATTTAGCAAAATGCACAAGACATTCTTTTTCCTTTTGATTTTGAAGAATACTATTAACTGTTCAAACTTCCCACATCAGACTGCAGTTTTGCATTATGCTCACATACTCTGTTTTAACTTAGAATTCTTATTTTTGCTAAAATTGACTCTTTTGGCAGATGCCAAACCCCAGAATAGTTTCCTACTAGGAACAGTAGGAAGCACAGCCTTCTACACACCATCTGTATCTCCAAGACCCATTGGGAAGAAGAAGCCTCCAAAACCTCTCTCTCAGGCAACAGCCATTTTGAGAATGATGCCTCTTTCACTCATCTCCCTACTCTGACTGTGCACCTACAATCTAGCTTAGATTTACATTATTCTTACTAAAAATGAATTTTTATTAGATTGCTACACCTGGAAAAATATGGACAAACTCACCAGGTCAAGTTAAGGATGCTTTCCATCTACTGTCCAAAACTCACACAGCATCCCTGGCACAGCATAACCAAGGCTCCACACTAGATCCTCTGTCTAAAGGGGGATGTTGACATTTTTAAACCATCTAGTAAATTACAGACAGGTGATGCATTACACAATTTCTGCTCAGCACTCATTGACACCTTTTAAACTTGATTTGACAATGCTGATTTGGAAAATCAACATCCAGTTTCTGAAAAGGATGTATATTTTATACCTCCCTTTAAATCCATCACAACTACATCAAAGCTGCTGCTGCAGAGGAGCTGAGACCACTGGAATCCACACCACGCTCCAGACAGACCTGTCCAAGCCATCTTTTCAGTGCCAGTCACCAGCACAGGGGCTGTGCCAGGCCCCCTTCCCACCTCTGTCTGCAGCTGAGCAGCAGCAGAGACAATGGAAGTTATAAAACCTAAAAAGTGACTCCAGGGCTCTTCTCTTCAGCATTTTAAATTAATGTGAAATGCCACGCTGGAACAGAGAGTCTCAGCAGAGTCTCCCAAGGGCCCAGACTGTCAAAGTATGAAAATGGATTGGCTGATTTATGTATTTGCTAACTTCTCCTCCGAGTCTTTAGTGGCAACTAGGAACAATGGTTTAACACTTCAGACATGAAACTGTCACCTGGATGTGACATTTTCCCCCTTCATATACGCTATTTTTTTCAGTGATCATGTTTTTCTTACATGCCAATGAGACCCTCAAATGGGAGACAAAAGCACTGGTAGAGTTTGAAGTGTTCCAAGTGCCAAATGCAAATTAGTCCTCTTTGCAGAAAATGGACTTCACACAATGTCTCCCCACAACTACATCCTCCTCATGCCTTCACCCTGACCTGGAAAGCAGCAGCCTCTACAGATGGAAAAACCAGTCTGATCTCTGTCAGGAAAATGCCAGCAGTAGCACCTTTTGTGGCAGACATCCTTAGGAGACTTCCTTTGCACAGGTCTCCAGATAGCTGTTAGGTAGCATGAAACTTCTAAAAGCCTCTGTAATTTACTTCCAACTTGGCTCCTTGGTTGTGACACCCTAGGTGTTAAGCCACAATCAAATCACTTTACCTTCCTGTACTTTAGTTTCTCCTTCCATTAAGCAGATATTGACCTTTCTTCATTATGCACTCTGAGACATAGGAATGAAAAGCAGTGGGTAAAAGCTGATTGTTATTACAGCTACTAATAATAATCCTTGAGCTCTGTAAGTCTCTCAGGTAAAATAATTTTGTATGACTAAGCAAATCTCGCAAATCCTTCCAAATCTCTACCTGAACTTTACAATCTAGGTAATGAAGACAGGGCAGGGAAGACAAGGGCAATGGAAAATAATTTCTTATTCATGGGAAACAGAACCCATTCTAAAATGAAAAAAATGTGCAAAACACTTGTACCAGGGCAGCAGGGAGCTGTTTGTGTCAGAGTCCCCCAAAGCAGTTTTGTTATTTTCAAATTATTTCAACTTTCTTTAAATATTTAGTTCTGAGACCTTTATCTCCCTAACAGTTCTATTTGTAGAAATGAGACAATCATATTTACTAAAAAACAACCAGATTCTTTCTCTGAACATTCTTCTGAATTTAGATGCTGGGTGTTTTAAAAGTTCAGAATAATTGGAATAAAGGCTCCATCCTCCCCATGAGTGGAAACATTAACTGGCTTTATCCATATTTTCAAAACTTATGAGCCTTCTCCCCTCAATTGCTTTGCACAACTTTTGGCTTCTAACCAACACAGAGAGCAACTGCTCCTTTACTCAGAGACGGAAGCTGTGCAAAGGGAACAGTATCTTTCCAAAACAAAACTCAATTGATGCCTTTTCTACTTCAGAATTGGAAACACTGCATTCCACAGGAGTCAGAAACTTAAAAACTCAGGGTTTGCACAGGACAGAGGCTCAACTCCATGCCCCTATGGAGTCAGGACACTCCTGTTCTGTGATGCTCTCTTACTTTCTTTAAAACCAGAGACACTCTGTGTAGGACTGGCTGGTATTATGGACATTCAGAATTCTGTAAGGGCCAGTAAAAGTCCCACGTGGAAGCAGGGAGATAAGCTGTCCCTTGGGATGGCAGAGTGCTGGCCAGAACAACACCTGCCCCCCAGAGCTCTGGTACCCTCTGCCAGCTTCCTGCTGCCCAGCAGAACAGCAGGAGGCTTCTGAACTTACTGCACTGATTCCTGCTGACTTCAAAAACAAACCAGGCTTTCACTTACTGCATGTAGTTTTTTTGTCTCTGCAGTCCACACCCATCCAGTTGCTGACTAAGCACCACACCAAGAAAAACAGCCTCTAAACCTACTTTATTTCAAAGACAAAATGAAATAATTATTCCTACTCTATGTTGTTGCTGTCATCAAAGAAATTAAATATGTACAATTGGTCATTTAATATACAATTAAAAGAGAAAGTAAATTCATGTTAAGATAGAATGAAAAATATTTTAGATATAAAAAAAGTATATCAGAATGACACCGACAGGACGAAAAACAGCCTTATGGCTGGGCAGAACTCTGTTATATTCAAAAGAATGGAGTCATCTTTGGAACTTTATAATAATTGGCCTCTATTCCCTGCTCAACTGTAACATTATTTAACAACTTGGTTCCATAATTAAGTTCGTCTTCCCAGTGGAATCTTGAAAAGAGGCTTAATTTTCTGCAAGAGAAATGGAGACATTGCAGACTGCCTAGCAGGGTGGCAAATCAATGACTCAGCAATGGGCAGTCAAAAACAGATTGGTTTTAATCTCTTAATCCCCAATATATGCATATGTTCAAGGGTAGTTTTGTGACCCCAGAAATATTTATACTGCACAAGATCTATATTTATTTTTTGCTTGCAGCAATTTGTGATGAAAAAATAAATTCTTGTTGTTTATAAACACATAAGAGTGCAACACAGAGAGTTTAGAACCAGGTTTTGGAAACCTGTATTCAGATAGGGATTGGCTTTTGTTTATGTCAATGTACATGAAATACTGAACTATTATCAGAACAAAAATTCTAATATTTAGGGGATTTCTTGCATAAGTCATAGTACCAAAAGTTTTTGCTTTGATTGAAAACTACAAATGGAGTTCAAAGCCTCCCACTGATCCTTATTCAAAATCCATATTCTTAATTGCTATTAATGTCTTTTGTTGAGTGACTAGAAAGTACATATAATTTGAGCATCTGATATACTCTGACAATGTTAGAAAAGAAGTTCAGGATTTAGTTAGAGAAACCCACTCCAAACTGTGATTAAATCACAAAATCTACAATTCACTATTTTGGACATTGTCAGATCTTTCTAGGCTGGGGACTACAGACTTGGATCTCTGGCAAAAATTTTTGGTTCTTGATTAATCACCAGTTAGAGAAGCCCACTCTCCAGGTTAGAAGCAGCACAGCCACATACTCCCAAGAGTTAAACATGAACAACCACTAGGTCTTGGAAAAGCAAATGCAGACTTTCTGCTTTTCCTGATTTACAGAGATACAACCCCAGGCTTCCTGTTCTCTCTACCATTAGTTAATTTATGTAAACTGTGTTAATAACGCAAAAAAGCTCTGCGCTCCCCAGTGTCCCAGGCACATTTGTCTTGTTTATTCTTCTTCATATCTCTCCTTACTAATTCTTTTGCAAGCAAGACAGCAGAGGTGCCATACCTTTCGCTGCAATGCTTTCAGTTTTATTATACTGACATTTAGACATTTGATCATCTTTTGATTGCCAGACAAACACACAACGAGCAAAAGCTGGTTTCCAACACTGATGCTCATTGTACTGTACTCATGTTATGAAGCTTAGAATTTATGCATTTTCTTACAGAGATTTCTGTAAAGAAAGAAATTAAAATATCATGAAAATCACTTCAAATTTTGAGGCTTGAAATTATACTTGAGTTCTTCCTCCAAAAGTCCCTCATTGTTTCAGACAGATCCATCATTTTAACACAGTATTCAGGCTACAAATCCAATAAAGATTATATCTATAACCCATTAGGTTATATCAGGGAATCTAAATCTTAATATTCCCTCTGTCGCAGTCTAAAGAAATGCGAAAATAACGTAACTTTATAACTTGCCACATATACAGAGTCAATACTTACAACTTCAAAGAGGCTCTTACCTTGAGAAACAAGGCTCCCTTGGAAGCCAAGGAGTCCATTCCTCTTCCATTGGGGTAACAGTGATAGGCAGCATCCATAACAGGATAGCGGCTGGCAAAAAGTAGACCACTGTTCACAAACTTAAAGCTACAGCAGCCATGGCAGCTGTAGACCCCAACATCATAGACGATGTATTCAAAATAGTGATGGAGCTGCTCTTTCAATTTCTCTGCAGCTCTTTTGTCAAACACTTCCTGCAAGCACAGAAAGTCCAGGTTGGCAGGGAAGAAAGCAGAGATCTCATGATCAAAGGTCTCATCTGTGTGTTTCTTTTTCCGCACGGAAGTCTTCTTCATGATTGAAGCTTTGTAGAGGAGCTTGTTGTTGACAGTGCTTTGGTCCACTGTACCATCTCCAACACGGACTTTGACTAGGGACTCTCGTGAGGCAGAGCAGCTGTCTAAACTCCCAGAATCTCCTTCCTTCTGTTTGTGGTTTGGTGTTTTTGAGACCTCTGCATCACCTTCCAGTGAGGGCTCTGCGGGGCCACTGGCACGAGCCTGGCCGTTGACGGTGTCTGTTTCTGTGTCTGACATGTGGCCATTCTCCTCTCCATTGATACGGACAATGCAAGTGTTTTCTTCTCCCTCATGTGGCTCTCCACTTCCACCTTTATCTTCTCTGTTCTCCTCGCCATTGTTTGAGCCACAATTGTCTCCTTTGTACTCCATTGATGTTGTCCTTTTGATGCCAGCATTAACAGTGCGGTTATCTCCAGCCTGGGGGGAGACCAGGCTGCTGAAACTGGCTGCACTGATGGATGTGTTGGTAGGAGAATCTATGTATATTTTAATCTGTGGCCTGCTCGCCCCATTTCGGATCCTCCGGCCAATCTCTTTAGCCCTGGCCTGCGTATTGAAAACGTTATTAAATCTTGCCAGGGAATCAGGCAGCAGGCAGACGTTGGCACTGCCAAAGCAGAAGCTTTTCCCACTCCCTGCTGCCTTCCATTCAGTGAGCAGTGTGGCTCCATTGGCATGGTTCTTGTCTTTCAGCCTGGAGTAGATATAGGGCCTTCTGGCTGACTGCAGCGGGGACCAGAGCAAGAAGCCAATCAGAGCGAAAGGGAGAGAGGCCACCAAGAGTGCCAGGTAGATGGGAGTGGTAATAATGATGCAGAGTGCGTGAAAATAGCATGGGTCATCTGCTCTTTGACGTTTTTCATAGGTGGTTGGAACAAAAGAGCCCACGAGCCTGTCTGCTAGCCAGTAACATGGGAAAATCAGGCCCCAGGAAAAAGAATGCAGAACTGACAGAAAGCTGTTGGGAAATGGAGAAGTGTATAAAACCATTGCAACTCAGTTATGACAACACTTCAGGGTCTACTACATGATGTCACTGTGTCAAGCATCCATAAGAACAGTAGGAGAGGGCTGGGGAAAAAAGGTCCAGTCAGGAGATTGCTGGGGGTTTTTTTTCCAGTGAGAGTCAATAACAAAACTTTAAGAGCACCATTTCACTGTGTTGGAATAAAAATGAATCAAGGCCACGGTTTTCGTCTGGCTTTTTGGCATCTGTATTTGTCAAAGGATGTCATTGTTCACTGGGAGCTGCCATAATGAAACTCTCCAGAGGCAAACCAGAAACCTGCAGAAACAAAAGACAAAAGTATTGGAAACTTAAGTAATACTTATGGGAAGTTTAAAGCAGATTGAGTTTTTCTCACAAAAATTAAAGACTTAATACATGTAGTGTATTTAGATGGAAATTGGAAAGGTTGGATCAAGAGAGGATTTGGGAGTTTTTTGTTTTGTTTCAATTATTAGCTCAGCATAACTTCACCAATCTTATGCAACATGTTTGAGTTCAAAGAAATAAGGGACAAGTCAAGTGCCAAATAACAAATGCTTGGCATTTACTCAGTGCCAAAGGCATTTTGGGATGTTGATAATAGGGGGAGCCTGGCAGATTTGTTTTCCTGGATGATTTTTAGGATCCTTCAGTAAAAATGCTCAAAAGTGACTCTGGCATCTACACATCAGATAGGAAAAAAATAACCTAAAACCTATCCAATTATATAATTACCATTAGAAAAGAAAAATCTCTAAAGAAATTATTCTGTTCTACTGGGTGCTTAAAATGCTTTATAAAAGCCCTATTTACATAATCACTCAGCAGACCAGAAAGATTCTTGTTTACAGCAGTACCAAGGGTAAACAGAACGTTGTATGTGGGATCTGTGAGGTGAGGACAGACAGCAAGCCTGATCATCCATCTTTCAGGCTGACACCCTTCCTGGTGAAAGGTGTAGCAGTGTTGCAGAATATAATTCAATATGACTTTTACTATTTTAAAATAACAGACCAGAAGAAAATGCAAAAGGCCAGTGGATCCATAAAAAATTGCATAACTAATTCTTCAATAGGTGTTTCCTTGAGCATATGATGACAGAATGTTACAACTCCCTGGGGAACATGAAACCAAGGGACAGTTTTTAGATAGAGTAGTAGAGCAGTCAATGCCTGCTTGGTGATGTGCTGAAGTAAAAAAAAAACAAAAAAAAAAGAATCAATTCTATACAACTCTTGCCAGTTCTATTATGGACTGCAATATCAATAATCTGCAAGATAAATCTACAAGATAAAGCTGTCCAGCAAACCATGAAACACCCAACTAAAACAGCTTCACAAAAGCAATTATCCAGATTGTGGAGACATACTGTATAAAAGGAATTCATGCTTACTGCAGATCCAACATACTATTGTGTATTTGTAAAAATGGAAGAAAATTTAATGCAATCACAAATCTTTTCATGGAATAAGATTGCACAGCACATGTCATGAAGGAAATTGGTTTGGACTGAGGTTTGTTTTAACAACTTTTAGCAAGAACGTGATTCTCTGTAAATGTTAAAGGCTGTATGATGGTTCAAGGCCACATTGGCGACTCCCACACTTCCTCTGCCTTAAAAAGGGTGAGTATCTTTCAAAATCAGGAGGGTTTTTAACCAGGTGCCACCTGCATTTCTCACTGCCAGCCTGTTGAAGTGAGGAGGCAATAACTGTATTCCATGCATTTTATTCTGTGAATTCTAATAGAATTCCCACAATTCATAACACAGAAGTACATAAACCCTGGTACCACAGCAAGCTTTAAAATATAAGAGCTGGACAAAAGGAAAGAGGGTATCATTAGCTGGATGTCCTTTAAATTTTTGCATATTGCAGAAAGAAGACATGGACACGTCAAGGTCCTAATTAAAAACCCTCTTTTTGCAAGGAAATTATTATCCTGACTTACTAAACTTACAGGTGAAAGCAATCACAAAACTTGCCAAAACTCTGTCACAGACTCACTGGCACACACACAAACAAGTTTCCTACTCCTTGCTAGAAAATCCAGTGCACGCTAGTGCCTCAAAGCCACCCAAAAAAGAGAATTAAGAGGGTCATGAGAGACAGATTTTATCTCAACAAGATCTTAACGGGTGAGGGAAGGCACCATGTGAGTCAACAGGAACTTGGAAAACATGACGTCAGTCACATCTCTCCTAATGCAATGGTTTAGATGGAGCCTAAAGCTAAAGTGCCTAATTCCTTGTGATGAAGGGTATTACTTGGTAATCCAATGCTTTATTCATAGGGGTTTGGGAGATTAAGGGAGAATTTAAGATATTGTAATGAAACAGATATTTTTGTATGCTACAAAGACGTAAACGGCAGCGTTGTTTGGTGGTTTTTATTACTCTGTGAGTGTTTGAAGGCTAAAAATAGACTTTATTTAATTTTTTTTTTATGGTGGCAGTATAGAACATCTCAACTTTAGTGATAACAAGACATCAGGCAGAAAGGTTTCAAAGATTTTTATGATCATAATTATGCCCAGAAGTATGATGGAGACATCATAGATCAAAAGAGATGTTTCTAGCTCCAGCATTGCTTGCAAACTAAATAAAGGACAATACAAGTCAACAAGTGATAGGAGAAACAGAAGAAAAACAACAAATCTTACAATAATCATGTTATGAGAACAGTCTAGAAATGGCCAGAAAAGTTTTAACTTCCTTTTGCTTAGAAACTAAAATACACTTTCAAATTCAGACAACTAAACTTTCTTCAAAGGTGATAGTAATATCACTTATATACAGTAAAAATATAGTAAACTGTATTTTTAAAACCATAAGTCAATCACTGGCACAACAGTTATTTATTTAAAAAGAGAATAAAATTCTGAAGTAGCTAACTGATTTGGAAAATTACCCTGTGTGTAACTTCACATCATAATTTACATATATTCATTAAAACTAGTGTTTCTTGAACCCTGAGAGTTAGTTTCCAGTGAAGATTGTAGCAATATTTATCTAAAAATTAATTCTAGAAAAGCAGTTTATTTAGACCGTGGCTTTACCCTGATTTACTTACTATCATTGTAATTTCAATCAAAGAAAACAGTCTTACAGAAATGATCCCACTGGATCATGTGAAACCACAAAAATTAGTGTTTGCAGCTGAGCACAGGTGAAATGAAGATCTGAGGTAACCGAGGGAGTTCTCACTCAGGCTCTCACGTCATTCAGGCTTATTAGAAAAACCACAACTTAATTTTTGCTTTCCTCATTGTTCTCATCTGGTTTTCCTCCCAGACACACTTCATAAAATCTTCCTTCCTTTATTCAGTGTTGTTCCCCTGATTATTCTTATACATGCTTTTAATTAGAGTCTAGTTCAACAGCTAACTAACCTTCTGGAAAAAACCTACTCCAAAAGGCCAAAACCACGTGAACTGCTTTCCATGCTTGATTACATGGCTGTAATTACAGAGATGCAGCCATCTCAAGGGGTCAGTGGCTCTAATGAAGACATTTCCTTGTTCCCCTGTGATCACAGCCTGATGTTCTAACTGAAATCCTTTCATCCTGGTTGGGACTCATTCCATGAAGGAGTTCACAATGCAGGCTAGGGGAATTTAAGTAGAACTTACTTAAATTCCACTTAAATCAATAACAATTTACAACTTAGGAAAATCTTTGTGAAAACTTAGTAAAAACATGGATCTTCTTTTGTATGAGAAGTTCAATTTGGTGAATCACTGGTACTGATGAATAAAGCAGAATCCATTCAAACTAAGGATTTGGCAGGAGGAGAAGGGAAGGAGGACAATGTTTTTGTAGACTTGCCATTGCAACATTCATTTACCAGTTTCTGCCTAAACTCTCTCCCTCCTTTCTAAAGAATGTCTTCAAACACTGCCAGGCTGCTCTGCAGCTTGTCTCTTTGTCCATAGGCAGCCAACAGGCAAGAATCAGTATAAACAAGATGTCTAACTTAATTGAGCTTACCTATATAAAATAAAAGACTGAGAAGTGTGAATTTATAAGTCTCTCTGAATAGCAGAGATGTCAGCTGTTAAGCACATGTCTGCAGAAAACAACCCCAAAGCACCCCCACAAGTCCAGGGAGCTGCTCAAGCCTCTGGCATATTTAGGGAATAGACTTGTGGTGATGCAATCTGTGTTTGAAGCAAGGAGGGATCAAGCACTTGGGCTAAATTTTCTTAAGGAGTCCTTGGAATCTCAGTGATGCCTCTGTCTGAATGTCTCCAAAGCTGTACATTGATGGAGATTTGGTGCTGCTATTAACCACAGGTTAAGGGAGCTGAACCAGGGCTGGAGCCCACTGGTCACTCAGTGTTGGGGCTGGATCAGCTGTGACCAAAATACCTGTGGTCACCAAAGGACAGTGGGAGTGGGAGTCATCCCCTTCATCTGACAAAAGATTGGCTGCAGCTGCAGAGAAAGTGGGCTGGCCTGGTGCCACACCTCACCTCAAATGGGAGTTTTTGTCTCAAAGTGCTGAGAATTTGTTTGTGATTACACGGTAAAACTTGCTCTGAGCTTTACAGTTATATGGACCATGGCAACAGATTCTCATTTCCAAAAGCAAATCATCTGAATATGGTAGTCCCAGATCATATTCCTAGGCCAAAAACCATACCCACACACCTTCTGCTACCTAAACAAATTGGGGTATGTTTTAAATTTAATAATAAAAAAAATTAAATTGTGTTAATGTGTGGTAACACAGGTTAAAAGAAGATCTAAACAATTATAACCCATTGAAAAGCATTAAAAACATGTCAGTTTTCCCCTTTTTTCTTTCAAAATGGATGAAAAATTGAAACTGAATGCATTATTGCAGAAAATAATCATCTTTCATATTCCTGCAAGCAGCACTGAGTCTACCCTGACAACAGATTATACTTGCTCAAAACTTACATCCAGAGTCATAAATGCAGAAGGGACACATCACATCTCTCAAGCCTAGGAGAGGTTTATTCTTTACTTCACACATAC